GTGCGCAAGTGAGGTTATTTGGGGGTGCGCAAGTGAGTGCTTGGCCTTCATTTGCAGGATGGTCCAGCTCAAATGTGGCTGATTCATATACCACAAACGGCCACAGAATGATTTAGCATCAAATAGACTTATTTTTAACCTCTGTTTCATTCGCTTTCCTTCCTGGGTAAATCTTACACACTCACTGCTACATTACATCAACATACATCAACCGTCTTTGGCAGAACCCGGCGGCAGTGGGCGTCTGAGGTTGTGCGCCTGACTTTCTCCTGTCTGTTTGGGACTGGAAGAACGAACGGCTTTTGCTGAAATGCAAAGCCTATGGCCAGGACGGAATGGCTGGCGGAGGAAGTCGGACGACAGGGAAACGAAGCAAGACTGGCACCATCTCATCTTGGCCGGTGCATTTTCAGGTTGAACAAAAAAAACCGCTTGAGCGCTTCACCTCAGAGTGAAGCGTTTCAGCATGGTGAAGCTCCCCCTAAAGATCCCTCAAACGACCAACCACCTCGATTCGTCCGGACACCTGAGCCGAGCCACAGAGGTGTCCGGTCATCGGAACCATCCCGCTTCACCGTCCAGGAAATCTTCAGCATTCGCTGGGGCCAATTTCCAGGGATGCTCACATCTGTGGGCGTTGGCCATATTAGGTGAGCATCAGGGAGAGTGCGACCTGTGGAGACTGAGAGACTCACTAGTGACCTGGAGTCAGAGAAGATGTAGCAAGTCTGGGCATCAAGATGAGCCAGCCTCGCAAGTCTCCCAAGACCAACGATGTCGAAGCCTGTGTCACCCTATGTCGAAGCCTTTCGAGTTCCTTGAATCGCTGGAGGTTCTGGAAGATGGCGACGACCTTCACAGGGCTCAAGTTGCAAGGGGACCTTGGCAAGGCCATGCGCAGGGCAGGGCAGTCCTTTTCGGCCCTGCTGAGGCCCTGCTTCTGCCTGGAGAATCCCAAGAACCGGACATAACGTGAAACATATAATTCGATGCTTTCCACAGTACCAACCACTTCTCGAGGAACATCCCAAAGGATCCACCCTTCAGAACGGGAAAAGACACTCGATCTCGGCCCACGGGTCCCCTCCGAGCTGCGGTACCGAACCGAAAACCCCGCGCGCGCAGTTTGGTGCCTCCGAGCTCTCGGACATCTCGGGTTTCGTGGAGCTGCCCGATGGCAAGGCGCGCCACGGCCGCTGGGGTTGGGCGATGAAAGGAGCTGCGTCGAGCTGCGTCGAGGTCATCGGAAGCGGCGGAAGCATGCGGAAGCACCATGCGTCCAACCCTCGATGAACTCGAGATGGTTCGATCTCAAGAGTTGGTAACATGTGACCTGGTGCGAGTTCGGAGGACGCTCGCGTACTGACGGCAACTGGATGACTGGGTGATGTGAACTGGGTGACGTTACCAGCAGCCCTGCCCAGCCAGCCCTTGGCGTAGTAGTGTGGATGGTTCATGACAGGACTTGCATCACACTCGCATGACCTGTTTCGCAAGAGGATTGATGACCCTGCCTCAGTCGTGTATTTGTTATGTTTCCTCACCCCATTTGAGGGCCTTTGAATGAACCCTTCAAGATACATGTACTGTGGAGGTTCTTGTGGCTTTACCCCAAAAGGGTCCTATCCACAACACCCTACATGCGAGAAGGAAGTCTGGTGGAGATGTAGGGACTACACCCGCCAGTTCCGCCTCGCAGGTAGTGACTGGTTCAGAGTGCCCTCCTTAACATGGACGCGAAGGGAACGAGCACTCCAGACAAATTTGTACAGATTGGGTAGGTATATGTAGGATTATGTACAGTAGGTATCCTGTATCCTGTCTTCATCACCAGGAACCTCGCCCTGAGGCAACTGGTGTCGTTGTCGACTTACATTGACATCAAACGTGCTTCATCTACTAGTCATGGACACATCATACTAGGGTAGGTAGGGAGGGAAGGCAAGCAGATGCAAGCAGCATATGAAAAGAATCTCATGTTGGACATTTTCAGTTGAATTGGTTTGCCTTGCGCAGACCAGCTTAGGTTTGATGCTTGCAAGAGAGGGTTGACATATGGACACCACCCTCTCTTGTAATCTTGTACAGTTCCGCATGCCAAATATCCTTTCTCGTTGTACAGTTGATCGATCTTGGACCCCACATCCAGGTATGGTAAGCTGCTGCTCTGGGAAGGAGTCTTTGTGAAGGTGGGCTTTGTATGGCTTTGTAAAGTCACTGACATGGTTCCCAGCTGCCGCCATTGGGGACTTGTGATCGCCCAAATTGAGAACCGAGGGGATCTGAGACCGATGAATCCGCTGCTTGACATCAGGTGGAGCTGATGCGGGCGAAAGAAGGTGTCACCCAAGCAGAAGCAGGAACCAGCATTGCTGGAAGCTGCTTGTCAGCACCTGACAAGTTTCACTCATGGCCGCCTTGTGTCATCTGAGATTCAAAGCCCAACAAGGTGACTCAAAAACGGACACAACGACTGCCGGTGTTCTCAGCAGCAGCAGCAGCAGCAGCAGCCGCAGCAGCAGCAGCAAACTACCACCACGGTGACGACTAGAGAAGACTACTACTACTACTACTGCTACTACTACTACTCCTCCTGCTGTTGCTGCTGCTACTACTACTACTACTTCGACTTCGACTTCGACTACGACTACGACTACGACTCCGACTCCGACTCCGACTGCTGCTGCCGCTGCTGCTGCTGCTGCGGCCGCCGCCGCCGCAGCCGTTGCTCCTACCCCCTACTCTGTGAGTATAACATAGTATAACCAACAACAACAACAAGTTCTTTTACGGCTTGCTCCATGAGCTCTACACGTTTCAGGGCTGACTGCCACCCAAGGTCCACACAATGGAAACATCGAGGTGATCTTGATCGATAAGGAAAATGGCATGGTGATCTCCGGCGGTGATGACGGCTGGGTCCTCGTCTATCGTCAGGGAGCATAGGCATTTCTATATTTTTTCCAGGGCCCTAGCTCTCAATGTGTAGATAGTAGTTTTTGGTCTTCCAACATTGACTTGAGTATGTAGCTGGAGGTGTCTGAACCGCTACTTATGATCAAAGGTTTCCAAAGGCCACTCCTTTTCTAAGGGAGTCACGGCTTGCGATTTGGGGGCCAGCAGGTCGCTCGTCGACCAGTCAAGTTGGTAAACAGGAGAGGCAGAAGGTCTTGTGGCTGACTTATATACAAAATGATGACAGGCAATAGGATTTGAAGTGTGCTGATCTAGGAAAGAAACACAGACGGTTTGAAAACAACTGCAGGCAAAGGACGTCGAACGGAAACAGCACCAAGTGTGTTTGGCAGGCTTCCTGAGCCCTGAACCCCGTGATCCAACAACTCCGGTGTCAGATAGCCACTTTGAAGGAAAGGTTCCTGATCTCAGTGGTCACTAGAGAGGAGGTCAAGAAGACAAACCATCTCAAACCCAACACTTTCCTGACCTCCGAACGATACCGACGATACCAAGTACTCTGAACCGACATGTACCGACCAAACCTGGTGCAGGTCATTTGAGATGGTGGCCTATTGAAGAGATTGACACAGCAGAGGCGGACTACGACAATGGCATTTTGGAGTGCCTTCGGTGGCATCAGGTTGCATTCATAATGGTGCGCGGCTGCCTGCTTCGCGCTGCTTCGTTCGAAGACCGCCCAAGAATCCTGGCCTATCCACTCTTTTTGGGCGGTCGGCACTGTAGACTTCTGAAGAACACTAAATTGAGACTATACATTCTGGTCAAGTCTGATATATATATATATACATAACTATATATATATATTGCCATATGGCTTTGGCTTAGCAGCCCATGTGTGAAACAAATACTGTAGACCACCACCTGCGCGTTCGTGGGTCTATTTTCTTGAGATTGTTCTTGGAGCCGCATTTTTGGGACACCGTGGCCCACCGTGTGTGGGACCAGCGTTTGGCCCGCACCCCTCGCACAGGTTTGGCATCCGAATGCGGAAGGAGGTCCGAGTGCCTCCGTCGGCCTGGCGCAGACTTTGAGTGACAAATGGGTGCTCCGACATCGATGGAGAAAAATCCATGGGGAAAACCACTGAAAACCGCTTTCCAATCACTATAATCGCAGGACGGGTGACCAGGTGGTGTCTATGTCCTTTTTTCGTAGGTCTCCAGTTCAGTGGGGATCGACCCGTCGCTCAGTTGTCTCCCTTTTTCATCCCTATCACACCCTACCATTTTTCGGTAATTCACTCCCAAACCTCAGTGGCCGAGAGTGGAATGGTCCTTGTAGCGCCCCCCCTTGTTCCCCCCGTCCAAGCAGATCACGGAGTCCGGAGTCCGCCCACGGGCGCGGCGCAGCGTCACGGTGTCGCGCGGCGTGGTGGCGCGCCAGGGCTGGTGAGATGAACCAACATCCCGCGCACATTCAGCACGTGGTGATTGGCCAGACGACCCAGAGGGATCGTCCAGAAAAACAGACGACGGATTTGATTGGCGCCATAGACTCCGTTCGTTGTTGCAGCCATCTCGATATAATTCTCCGGTCAGAATGGCGTGCAGGGCTTGTGACCGGTTTCAGAACATGGTGAACACTTGTGAATTGGGGTCTTTCACCGCTGGCTAGGTGAAGATGAAGTCACCTGGCTGATCCAGGAGCGAGTGGAGCCAGATGTCCGGTGGAGCCAACAGTCTAAGACTCGTCGGCGGAGAGGATGTCGGTTGTAGCCTCGTCATGTGCCTCGAAAGCTAGAGGAGTGCTTTGCTTCATGTCATGTTCACTTGGCCTTTTCTACCCAAGCTGTTTTCTATGATAGCCATGATAGTAGCTTTTGCCCTTTATGATCCAAATTAACGTAGTCCCCAGCTGAGCAGGCAGTAGTCTTGACTCATTTAAAGGACTGCTGCTCAGGACTGGTTTGTTCAGTGATCGTTTCAGAAGTTGTTGGAATTCGTCTGAAGGCTTTCGACGGTCTCAGCATCATGGTGTTTTTTCCGGAGGTACCATGTCTTTTGTTTTTTGGTTTTCACCAGGACTCCAGGAATGGCATGATTTGGATCTACGACATGGCGGCCAACACCTGCACGTCAGCCTTGAGCTGCCACAGTCAACAGGTGCCGCGCGACGCGCGCCCCGTGAGACTATTCACGTCACTTCCAGCGATTCGACATCCCTTTTGACCATTTTGGGACCCAGTGGCCCAGAAACGAACGGCGAGATCACCGTACGACGCATCCTTGACCGTCCTTGACCAACCGTTGATGCTGTTTGCTTGGAACCTTCTTTGGAAACACTGAACCGCACGGCAAGTTGGCCATCCAAGCGAGCTCACACGCTGCACGGGAGACCTGCGCTGCATGTACTCATGTTCAGACGATTTCACACGCTGCGCAGCAGGTGAAGTTGTGCACCATGGCCTTGTGAAAGGGATGAAATATACTGGTCAGCCTCTTTACACAGGAGGAGCCTCTCAGGAGTACAATTGATGGGGGTGAATGGGAAACCAAACTGAGATCCAAGCTGTGTAAATCACCATCGAAGGGCAAAGATTTATAAGGCCAAAAACAATTGCTTCAAATGCTCAACGAGTCCCGGCCTGCTCTGCGGCTCTGCGACTCTGGCTATTTCGATTGCCCCCCCGCTAAAGTAAAGTTCGTTTCTTCAACTTTCAAAGGAAGAAGAAGAAGAAGAAGAAGAAGAAGATGAAGAGGAAGAGGAAGAAGAAGAAGAGGACAAATAATAAGAATAACAAGAACAAGAACAATGACAAAAATAGTAACAACATATAACAGGAATAGCAAGAATAATAACAATAACAAGATGATCAACTACAACAACAACAATGACGAACCACAACAACAACAGCAACAACAGCAACAACAACAACAACAGCAACAACAACAACAACAACAACAACGGCAACGGCAACGGCAACGGCAACGGCAACGGCAACGGCAACGACAACGGCAACGGCAACGACAACGACAACGACAGCGGCTTCTCTTCTTCGTCCCGTGATTTTTGGATATTTTTGGATCCTTTTGTTCCCTTTGACGATGTCGCCAGGTCACGGGTTCGGTGGTCTCCTCCTCCTATGCGGGCCTGGTGATGTCTTGTGGTGGCTCGGTCTGGCGGGGGGAGTCTCGGGGGCAGTGTTGGCTTGGCCTCCAACCTACTAGCGATGGCCTCCAACCTAGTAGCGTTGGGCTCCCATTTTGGAGATTTTTTCTTGCTTTTTAGGTCCGGGATCGGTTTGAGCATATCCCCGCAGATGGTGGTGAGCTTGGAAGGGGCACGCGTTTTCATCCGAATCCTGGCTTTTTGCAAGAGGTAATTGATGGTAATTGAGTACTGTAGTTGGCCAATGTTGGCCACTCCTATTGGTCACGATTACTCTCCTGAGTAGCAAACACGCTAGACAGCAGCGCAGGGAGTCAGTGAGTTGTTTAATTTTGTGTTAGAATGGCACCTCATCCACAGTATCACCTTACTTACGCTCCATTTCCATTCGGTTCTATCCATGATGAACTGATCATCATCTCCAGGGTCTTCTCTGGGTGAGCTCCTGTGAACTGCGAAGAGTTCCACTGGTCTGCCTTTGAGCACATCTAGTAGTCTGATCATTGGATTTGGCCTGCATTTGATTCATTTGGATTCGGTCTCCCTTGGACGAGTTCTCCCAGATTTGGTGTCCCCATGGATCTCCAGGATCCGAAGATCCGATCCATCGGGATCCGTTCGGATCCGGTTTCTCTTCGCATCGAGGCATGGATGGCACCGTGCGAGCCTTCAATGTGTCACAACCCTGGGACAACGAGTTGCCTGGGTCACCCAGGGGCGCCCGGACAGAATCTGAGAATCTGAGAATCTGATCTGTGTACAGTCTCATCTTGTACACGGGTCAGATTCTCATTCCAGATGTTGGGTGGGACACACAATGTGTTCACTCATATCATTTCTTGCAGTTTAATTTTCTTGCTATTCACTTGGACCTACACAGCATTTTTGGGTTCCCCACAATACCCAGACGTGAACACATTGCCCCTGAGCAGCCCCACCAAGAGTCGGGCAGTCACAGCGATCTATGCGCCATCGCCACACACACATGGCATGCTTAGCATATCTCAGCATCTTGGGGCATGCTAAGAGGTATCGTGGATACACACGACGGATGCCATGTTCTATATCCACAAGAGATCCTTAGCATATTCTTTGCACATGGCATTCTTAGCACATGTTCTGAGGTATCGTGATATCCGACCTTTGCACAGTGCCAAAGTGGGGGCCACCTGCCTCGATGCCACTCCAGAGTTGGTCCGGATGCTCGTTGAGCTGAGGGAAAGTTGAATTGGAGACATACCAGTCGGTCATGTTTCCTGTTTCTGGTAGAACACTCAGCAAAAACACCCATCTGATCGCTTCTACAGGGTCCGTGATTTGCTTTTTTAAAGCTGAGTCACAAGCACAGCCTTTGAGACGCGGGTCTCAGGATGAGGCTCAAGGAGTTTCTTAACCTTTTCTGTTGACAAAGATATGTACTCCAAAAAGAGGGACCCACTCAGATGTTGTACACTGGGAGTTGGCCAATTAACTATATAGTAGAAAATTATATAGCTTTGAAATGCTTTGGATTACGAGCAGCTCATGTAGCATATAACTCGTCTAAAGGCCTCACGTGGGTAGGAGTCTGGGCTCTAATTCGGCTGTTTCGAACTATTGACGGTTGTTTGAGTCACGTACCAATACCCATCACGACTGACATCTATTATATAAATCTAAAATCTAAACTGCAAGCAGAAGGTGCACTGGCATATGGTATGCAATCGGGACACTGCTTTGGAGCAGCTCAATGGCCGAGTACTCCGAGGTCGACCCCTCGAAGCGCACCGTGTGCGTGGGATACACGGCCCTGGGCCGAGATGGGAGCGCTGGGAGTGGGATGATCCACTGATTTTCTGAAGGGAATGGACCCGGTTCTTCAATGACGCAGTATTGGACCGGATAACTAGTAACGCCGATAACATCGTCAGGTTTGTTCATTGTTGCTCACCTTCTGAAATCATCGGTCCTTTGATGTTTTTTGCCTCACTAGCCCATCATTCAGTGGTTGAACTGCATTCTTGGCTGATGGCTTCTCACCATTCTCAGTTGATAGCTTCTCCCACCGAGGATGGGACCATCCGCGCCTTCACCGCTTGTTCCGATGGCTTCTTGCAGCTTCAGGCGAGCCCTCTCAGACAAGAGCTTCACAGAGAAATGATTTCAGGGCCCGAATGGGGTCGACGAAGTTGGATCAAACAAACAAAAACGGCAGACACCGGCAGAGACGGATGGCATCTCATAAGTATCCCATAATGTACACCCTGGAAAATTGACATTGGAACCTGGAAACCACGGCGGGTTGTAGAGGAAATTTGTTTTCCAGTCAGGTCGGTCTTGGAAGGTTCCCGGGTGTGAAAGGCCTTGCACCAAGGCTTTGAAACCGCACAACTGCATGGTGAAGCAGCTGAAGCCACTCGGGCGGAAATCCAGGGTTGCGTGATTGGCCAAAGTTGGGTGATTGTCTTGGACCATTCAGCGCAAGGAATGAAGTAGAATAGAGACACCACGACACGACGCCCTGCAAGACAATGACTTTTCTAGTCTTTGTTTGCATGACATGGAACACTGGATCCAGGTGTTGTGAGGGCTTATGGGAGCAGGATCACTTAATTAGAGGCCTATATACCTTCTGTGGAAAGAGAGCGATCAAGACGTTCCTGTTTGTTGCATATTGGTACCCATTTGACCCATTTGTGCTGTTATGGGCTAGCACTACATGGACCATGTCGTGCAAGGGCTAGCCAGTGACGTGATTTGGACCGAGAGACGTGAGACGTGAGACCGTTCGTAGGTGATTCGTATGCGAATTGTCACCTGAACATCGTTTCTTACCGTGGAGGTGCACCCCAAACGAGGGTACCTGGATGGTTTTGGACTGAGTAGAGGCCAGAAAACCAATCAAATTCCCATGTAGCATCGCTGCAACCATAAGCGGAGAACCTGGAATGAACATCGTTCCTCAGCTGTGCTTGGCGAAACACTGCGACTCGTAAATTCTCGGGAGTTCGTGAATCGGTGGCCCCAGACATGGCATGGAATCTTGCAGATTGTGATCGTTGGGATTCCAACCACCATTGCTTTAATGGCATTTAAGAAGCCATTGTTTTACTAAGGATAGATATTAGACATTGTTAGCCTTAGTTAGGGTCATCATCTTTGATTGTTCTGTGACACTCCCAGCGAGCTCGGTCGACACGTTCAGCCGCAGAATTCGAAGGTATAGCCCTGATGAATTCAATCTGCTGGCCACGCTGGGTGAGGAGAGTTCCCAGCTTGTTGGCCACAAGGAAATCTCAGGTGGCATATCACGACAAACACCACCCTTCACGACAAATTCTGTGCAAAAGTCCATTGGATCCATACCCGTGTCGTTAGGTGCTTCTTCGTCGCACTTTCTTCGTGTCATTGCTGCCACATTCATGGAGTCTGTTGCTCTTGATTCGCATCGCACGGTCACTCATGCACGTTCATTTCGTTGTGTGTCTTTAACCCTTATGACCCCCCACTACCTCGGTGCAGATGGAGACCCATCAAAGCCGTTCTTTTTGCATGTTTGGAGACTTGCAAGCTTGCCAAGCTGCTTGCACCAGGCAAGAGATGCTTGCTCGTTCTGCACGATACGTTCTAGCAATGTTCTAACAGCATATGATGGCTTCCAAGCTGCTTTTGCGGGGTCTTTTCAAAGTCAGAAGAGTTGGTGCCCTCTCGGGTGTCCTTGGCGTGGCAGGCTGATGCAACTGTATCAACTTGCAATCAAAGGGGGAGTACGACAGGGTTAACGAGTTGCAGCCCCCAGCTTCCCCGACTGAAACACAGACTGAACAGGACAACACAATCTTTTTCTTCCACGTGCAACTGCTCTCAGAGCACGTCTGGAGCTTGGCCTGCAGATGCGCTGGCTGCTGCCTAAGTCAGGTCCAGATGTTGCAAACACCTTCCAAACTTTTCCGCATAATATCCGATCAATATAACATCAGATGTAAGGCGAGCTCATCTTTATCTCCACAGCCGCGGAACAACAATTGAACAGGATAATTTGCCAAAACAAGCGACATTTGAAAGCCTATACACTCTGTTCATATTTTTGCTACAATCCATTGTCAGCTTCACTTCTGTCTCTGGTTGTTGATGTCCGCCGGCGTGTGACCGTTTTTTTTGGGGGCACCGAACCACCGACTCCGAAGCACTCCGGACTCGAAGAGTGCGACTGACTCCGGACTCTGCGGCTCCAAGGCGATTCCTATTGGGTTTGTGAGAATCCCCGTGCAAGTGAACTACTTCGCGTGGGACGACACCACAGGCGCGCTTCGAGCGGAGACGCCGGACGGAGAACGGAGAACGTTGAAGACTGCCCGGCTGCAGGAAAGGTGCTCTTGAGCTTGGGAGATGGCGATGGCCTGAGTTGCCCGTGTGCTTGGGAGTCCAAACAGGTGTCCCGTCCGTCTCCTCCGGATGTATCGGAGAGAATTTTTCGCTTTCGTGAGGATCACTGCTGGCCCTAAGCAGTCCAGATATTGAATCAGTGAACAATGGCGAAACGTGCCCCAAAAAGCGACATGGCAGGCCATTGACTCGCCTGACACTGTCATGGCAGACATGGAGTTACATTGCATGTTTGACAAACTTGATTTCCATGATGACAGCACGTGCCAGTTCATTCAGTCCCTGTACTCTCTCTAACCTATGCCTGAGTTTGACGCTTTTTGCATGTCAGACATGAAAAGCTGCCAGGTACGAAATCGAGGTGAACTACACTGCAGTGATGCCAGACGTGCCGGAAATTGAAGAGCCAGGGAGCTTGGTGGCCATCCACAAAGGGCTGGTCATGTTCTGTCCGTCTTTCGGCATATCGGCATTGAGTAGCCCTGTTTTGGCCGTATCCGTGTCAGCTTCAGGTCAGACGAAGAGGAGGAGGAGGACGAGGAAGACGGCGCAGAGGGGGAGGATGCTGAAGCCAAGGAGGGCGAGGACATCGCGCTGTTTTGCATGCAGCGCATGAGACTTACAGCAGTTTCAGAGTAGATGGCGCAACCCCGTTCATTGGCCCTACATGTCTTTTAGATGGGGCTTTGCATAACCACCGACCTTGGGGATTGTGCTATATACTCTACTCTCCATCTACTCAGTCACGTAGACTCTTGATGAACAACACCATAATAACACCTCCCATTTGGATCTTCAGGCCTGCAGGGGTGTGAGTCGAATGGTGTTTTCGTCGACATCTTCGGGCCTGCGTGGTGTACAGACGGCAAGGACCGAACCGAACCGCCCAGGACTCTCCCCGGTCACCCACCTCACCGATGTCACCGGTCTCAGCAGCGGAGGCCGCGCTCACCGACGCAACGGTTCGGGACTCGGGGTGTCCAGCGAGGTTTTGGGCGGATCAGACGAGCATTTTTTCGGGACACACAGGAGACATCGCCAGGATTTGTTCCGGAGAAATCACCATGGCATGAGCTTCTTGGAATTCAATTTCCTTGAGGACTATATCTTATGAGGAGTAACATTTTGGGCGATCTTGAGAATTTGGTGGGCAACTTTGTAGATATCATGCCTACCATTTCAAGAGCTCTATTTGGTGGGCAAGGGCAAGGCCAATACATTTTCTACTGTAGGTCATTTCGTCTCGGGTAAGCAAGTCATGCAACAGCGTCATACCTTGGCAGGGTTGGTGTGTTCGCACATATGTTTCGATCCTTGCAATCCTGTTTTCGACCAAAATCAGCTCTAAGCATCTTGCCAGACAGAGGGAGACGAGGAAGAAGGAAAGAAAAAGAAAAAGAAGAAGAAGGACCATGGCTGGATTCACAGTCAATCGCTTTGACCGCGTCACCCGGAGCTAAACTGTACCAATTCGATGACATTTGTCTTTGTGCAGAATCTCTTCAGCTAGCTTTGAGCAAGTTTTTGACGTTTGACTGCTTGTATATACAGCAGTATATTATGAGCTAGTCGTAGGGTCAAGATTAGCGAAAGTGAAACATAGTCAGTAAGTGGCAGTGGGATCTAAAAATGCATGTCTTTGCTACAAACGTGATAACACACTCACCAAAAGAACAACAATGAGAGGGACATGGAACACGAAAACACATCCACCAAATCCTGATGACCTGCAGCCGCACAATAGACATATTATGCATAAATGTGCTGATGCAATATGTTGCCAATGAATGTATGGTTGTGGTCATCGTCTGGCGGACTTTCTCGAGTTCTTCAACATTTGCGAAGTGCCATTGTCGTCCTGCAAACCATGCAGGAAGCTGTTGAAGTTTCACAGATATCAGATTAGGCGCACAATGCAGAATAGTATCAGGATATTTTTGGTGAATGGATGCAGATGTATAATATCTAGTTTTCTATTTTCATTTATATAACTATTTTGTAATTAGTAATTAGATGAGTATATTGAAGTGTTCTACATATTGATTGATGGCAACCGATAGAATATTTTGTCACAGGAGTCGCGACTCCCGTGACTCCTGTGATGGTGTACTGCATTTGTGCCCAATCGAGCTGAAGACAAAAGGAAAATACGCCCAACAAGAATAAACATGCAAGTCGCATCAAGTCACCATATTGTTTTGTTCACATTAGTTCTTGTTTTTTTTCCTTGCTTCCTTTCTTTGAGTTTGATTTTGTTCGCATGGCACGAGCTGAGACCTTGTAGCTGTGGAAAGAGATGGAGCTGTTTCATCGGAGCCCTTCCGCATTTGATGTTGCTCTTCTGGGTCCAAAGATTTTGTGTGTTGCGCCATGTTTGCCCATGCAAACAGCAAACTTTAGACCCGGGCATAATGCAGTTATGCTCGGAGTCGAGCAGGTCATATCTATATGGTTTTTGCCTTTCTTTGTTCGCAGGAGGAAAAGCCTAAGGATGAGGATGAGGACGGAGAACATCATGTTGAGGCCCTGTCCATTTTTCCATCCGATCATGGCTAGGTCGCAGGTCGAGACGGGGTCCATTTGGGCCGAAACCGCAGAAACCGGCGCAGAAACGGCTGTCCTTCGAACCCCAAAATGGTCCAAAAGATCACCCCAAACATCCGAAACACCGGGCTTCTGGGCTTTGCCAAGCAGACGGAGGTTCCTCCGACCGTCATGACCGACCTGCCGGTGGGCTGTGGCAGGTGATTGTCACTTCGGTGTCTCGCGCCATCTTGATCCCGTCTGATAGTCGGGGAGCTTGAGCAAGCACCAGCGACGTTCCGCGCGACGTTCCGATGTGACGCGACGCTCGCCCCATGGAGTCCTCCGAAAGTCCGAAGACATACCCTGGACCAGCCTGGATGACAGATCCCCTATGACAGACTTGCGATGAACACTGTAATTACGGAGCTTCTGTGCTGATTAGCGAAGGGAATGCAATATGATACGATGCTGCAATGCCTGTAATGGATTGAATCCTCAGATGGTTTTGGACTCGTCATTGTGATCCTGGATCTCCAAGGTGAAGACAGTGAACGAAAGGTGGTTTTCACCGGCACCGGACGATACTCTGGTGGTCTATGGGAGGGCTCTTTGCTTGGAGTGGAGGAGCTGTTGTCGTTCATGCCATTCATCCCTTGACTGCCAGAGATGGCCATGTGGGAGGAAGGGAAGTTTTGTCTTGAGTCTAGAGTCTCTACCCTTTGTAATCAGCTGACGCTCCAATGCTTCCTGGCTGAAAGACAATGCCTTGAATGGCAGAACTTGCAGCTTCCGGGAAGCCTCCAAAACACTTGCGCACAGGAGACCAGGGTCAATCAGGCAGGGAGGGCAGCGGCACTTTCCGCATTTTTGCTACGGTTGGATACTCATAACTTCAACTCATTTGGACAAACCACGCTTTTATATCTCTCTCTCTCTCTCACTCACTCACTCACTCACTCACTCACTCACTCACTCACTCTCTCTCTCTCTCTCACTCTCTCTCTCTCTCTCACTTCTTCCCTCTGTCTGTGTTTGTGTTGTTTGTCTGTCTCTGTCTGTGTCTGTCTGTCTGTCCGCCGCCCGTCCGTCCGTCCTTCTGTCGGTCTGTCGGTCTGTCGGTCTGTTTGCCTGCCTGCCTGCCTGCCTGCTTGCCTGCCTGGCTGGCTGGCTGGCTGGGTGTCTGTCTGTCTGTCTGTCTGTCTGTCTGTCTGTCTGTCTGTGTGTGTCTGTGTGTGTCTGTCTGTGTCTGTCTGTGTCTGTCTGTGTCTGTCTGTGTCTGTCTGT